CATGACAGGGCCTGTAGAGCACAGGATGACTAGAACTTTCCACTGTGATGCTTGGGTGACTGTGGTGTGGGAGTTGAGTAGCACTCCTTTGTGTTGGCTGTGCTGGGATTGAAGTGGAGGCCTTTGGGCAGTGGCAGTTGGCTTGAGACTGCTGATACCCTGGCCTCTACTTCCATCCCAGTGTCCCAGCTAAGGAGTGCTAAGGATATTTTTAATATGTGAAAAATATAGGCGGGTAGGAAGAGTTGAAGAGGAGGCAGACCTTACCTTACTGAGGCCCGAGCCTGGTAATGACTTGGATCACCTTACATTGGGATTTGGTTAACAACAGCAGTAGGGACTGCTGGGATTGCCATAACTAAGCAATGCAGTTATAACAACAACAACTTTATTGTCACTTTGAAAGTACACCAATCGGCATAAATCAAAATGAAATTTTGTTGCATACAGCTCTCAAAGGGTCACATTGCTTAGCAATAGAAATTCCAGTCTCAATTACCGTTGTAACTTGAAGATTACCAGGGTTTGGGTTTATAGCTATAATAATAATTGGGATGGTATATTAGAACTTTAACATGATTCAGTAGAGAGTCTCTTCAGAATTTCCATAAAGAACTACACATTAAACAAGGATTTTCAATAAAAAGTTTTGAGAATATGTCTGCCTTCTGGAGTTCTTATTTGAAACAGATCTTGGATTAGTTTCAGTGTAATATTAATATATTTCATCTACATGTTAGCAATAATATAAAACTGTCCTTATCCATATTATTTCCTCTTATTGAATTCAATATGTATTATTTCTGTATTAAGAATATTTATAGTCAGGTGATGTCAAGTCATAGTAGGATATATTTAACATGTGACAGCACATATATGCATTTGTATGTTTATACATTGGTCAGTGAATCATAGACATGTTGAAATACATTGCTTAGCTCACATTAAGGGAATTTGTTATGAATTCAAAGATCAAAAGTAATATGTGGAATATTTTCACATTTATCATGTTCCTGAAACTATCAAGGGCTATAGAAATGTCAAAAATATTTGATGTCCTACAGCCTGTTAAAGCAGCAGAATCCATGAAGTAGTGTACCTAAATTATCTCTGAAAGTCTTTAAAGCAGATCATGCAGAATTCTGACAGGTAATCATGCTTTATTTTGTCTGTTCTTTTCTGATAAGGAATAGAATTTAATTCCAAGAAACTACCTCATTTATGTTTAATCCCCTGAAGACTTTGTAGAAATATCCTTTTCTATTTCAAGTTCAGGATTTATAAGCTTTTTACGATGATCTGCATTGTTAGACAGTTCTGCATATTGGCTCATGGTCTCAAAAACATTAAAAAATGCAACTACAAATATTGTCTCTTTCCTCTTTTGCCGCTAGCAGAAAATATGAGAACAGAATACCTTAGTATATTTAAATTTTAATATTTTGAGAGATTTAATATCAGTCTGGTTAGACAAAATATTATAACAAGAAATCCCATCAGCTTTCTGCTACTGATCATATCAGCTAAAATTTACATTGATCGCTGTACAGTATGCTAACCTGATAGCATGTTCCCAGCATCCCCAGTTAATCAAGGATACGGTTTCAATCATAATTACATAACCATTTTTCTAGAGAGAAAAAATACTTAAGCTTTTGTAGTATGATACACAGCTAAAAAGAGTGAAAAAAGTCAATAAATTTTAAGAACTGTGTTCCATTTAATGCAGATTTCCAAGTTATTTTTAACTCTGGAACTTTTATTCATTTACTAAAATGAAAATTCATTTACTATGAAGTATCTTAATATACTACTCGAAGTATACTGAATTTGATTTCTTCTTTTCATATTTACATTACTTTATCGCTACAGTTCATTTATGACAATAGACGTAGATTTATCCCTCACCCTATATTTTCTCTATCTCCTATTGTTTTGATCGGTGATTTCATCAACTTATTTATAAATATTAAAATTCTTCTAGTTATTACCTTTACATGAGATATTTCCTGCTTAAAATCATACTTTCAGTAAGTTTGACTTGTTATGTGCCAAGTGAGGGAAGTTATTCTTGCTTAAATTTAGTTAAACTGTTGTTCTGTGTATATATTATTAATTTTCCTATTGCTGCATGTTTCAAAGTTTGATTTCCAGGTTTGATAATGTCAATATATTTTTTTCTTTGGGGGCCACAGTTGTCCTCATGGCCTTTAGCATATATGTTATGCTATTGACGTGGTTCTTCCAACAGGCTTGGATATCCAAGAATTATAGGGAGCTTGGTGGGATGATTACACTGTAGATGTTAGTCCATTCCCTCACAGTTTTATTTATATTTGTGTTTAGATTGTTTTTAATTGTTGTTTTAAATTTCTTTTAATGTATTGTTTTACAGTACACTGCCCACAGTCATGACTGTGAGATGGATCAGTATATAAATTATGTGATAAATAAATATATGTAAATAAATAATAAATTGTTATGCTTATTTATTCTAGAAATATTCATAGGAAAAACAGGTTTCAATTCAAACTTTGTTTTTTTTAATATTTTTTCAATAATGCTGGGTATCTTTCAGTATTTGTTTATTTATTTATCTATTTACAGTAAGGGGAAAAATTATTTGATGTCCTGCTGGTTTTGTCAGACCACCAACAAGAAACGATCAGTCTATAATTTTAAATGGTAGGTTTATTTTAACAATGAGACAGAATAACAACAAAAAAATTCAGAAAAAATGCATTTCAAAAAAGTTATAAATTGATTTGCCTTTTAATAAGTGAAATAAGCATTTGATCCCCTGTCAGTCAGCAAGATTTCTGGCTCCCAGATGTCTTTTATACAGGTAACAAGCTGAGATTAGGAACACTCTTAATGGGATAAAAACACCTGTCCACAGAAGCAATCAGGCAATCCAATTCCAAACTCTCCACCATGGCCAAGACCATTTTTCTGGATTTTTGTTGTTGTTATTCTGTCTCTCACTGTTAAAATAAACCTACCATTAAAATTATAGACTGATCATTTCTTTGTCAGTGGGCAAACATACAAAATCAGCAGGGGATCAAATACTTTCCCCCCCTCACTGTACTTATTGATTTTCCACATTTATGACCTGCTGACCTCTTTCAGAGAGAGGCTCTGGGTAGTGTACAATAAAATATTAAAATGTAAAAACAGTATATAAAAAAATAAAAGTATATAATGAGACAGGATAATGATTGTCCCACGGGTGCTTTTTCAAGAGGCAACTGGGCTTTCCTTGTTTTTCCTTGAAGACATTTTGCTTCTCATCAAGAAGTTTCTTCAGCTTCTTGGATGCGAAGTGAAATGTCTTCAAGGAAAAACGAAGTTTAGTTGCTTCTTGAAAAGGCATAATAATGATGATGATGATGATGATGATGATGATGATGATGATGATGATGATGATGATAAAGTTGGAAGGGACCTTGGAGGTCATCTAGTCCAACCCCCTGCTCAGGCAGGAAACCCTATACCATTTCGGACAACTGGCTGTCCAGTTTCTTCTTAAAAACTTCCAGTGTTGGCGCGTTCACCGCTTCTGGAGGCAGGTTGTTCCACTGGTTAATTGTTCTAACTGTCAGGAAGTTTCTCCTTAGTTCTAGGTTGCTTCTCTCCTTACTTAGTTTCCACCCGTTGCTTCTTGTCCTGCCTTCAGGTGCTTTGGAAAATAGCTTGACTCCCTCTTCTTTGGGGCAGCCCCTGAAATATTGGAACACGGCTATCATGTCCCCCCTCATCCTTCTCTTCGTTAAACTAGACATACCCAATTCTAGCAACCGTTCCTTATATGTTTTAACCTCTTTGGGACAACCATGACCTGGATGACTGAGACTCTCCATAGAAAAGGATGACAATTAAACACTGTTAAAATTAGTTAAAAAACAAAGTGGGGGGGGGGTACTCAGACACCAGACATCCTCATGGCTCTGTGCTCTTCTGGGCTCCCCATGCTAGTCTGCAGAGCCATATTTTGACTCCTTTTCAAAAGGCTAGGAAAATGGAAGCCAGCCTCACTTCTGAGGGAAGACTATTCCACAGGGTGGGACAACAACAGTGAAGATTCTCTTCCTGAATCCTGCCAATCAGAATTCTTTAACTAGCTGTAGATCTTCAGTGGTTTGAAGTGCATTAGCATGCTCTATGGCAATGTTTCTCAAACTTGGCAACTTTTAAGATATGTAGACTGCAACTTCCAGAATTGGAAAATTGAGAATCGCTGCTTAGGGAGTACGGCTTTGCTTTTTGTCAAAATTCTAATTTTATTTGGGTTCACTTTGTATGATAAATCCATCTGATCCATATATTTTTTACATATTTCTTCCTATGTCTGCTCCATCATGTTTTCCATCAGTGATGTAAAATAAAAATGAAATTTTACCATGGTTTTCAGCATTTCTTCCCAGCATTTTTAAAATCCTTTGATTCAATAGGTGGCAGCATCTAGCTGACCTTTGCTAATCTCAGAAACTAAGCAGGATTAGATGGGGAAACCATCTCAGAACTCCAAGGCTATAGGGTAGCATTCAGAAAAAGTCATGGGCAAACTATTCCCATAATGGTGCCAAGTAAACCACATGGTTATACTTATTAAAAATCAAACTTTAGTTCAGGATTTTTTTTGTTTATTTTTCAGTATTGTATATGAAACATATGCATCCTGCTTTAAATAAATACATGTTTTATTGTTGGCTTTTGTTATGGTTTTTTTAATAAGTTGTAGACTAGCCTATATTGTCTGCTATTTTTGAGCTAAGAACTGTTTTTCAAAATTGCAATAAAGATAATTGTATGAGTTACAAATGAAAAATTGTCTGGCTCACTTGAAAAATGTACAATAGATCAAACTAAATTATGACACACTTCTAGTTCTGTATAATTATTAATGTAAGGGAATTATCTTACTTATTACTGAACGAGTGTAAAGTGTTAAATTTTATTATAAAGCCTGTCATTGAAAACCTTTTTTAAATTTCCAGTCAGATGCCAGCAGTAAAGCTATATTTTCCAAAGTGATGGTAATAACAAGTAAGTTTTTTTCCTATATTTTAAGTTTAAATTTTGAGAAAATATTACTTCTGTATTGATATTTCAATCATTCCATTTTTTCCTAACTTTGAGTAAGTGACCTTTGAAGTTGATTAAAGCAAGCTGTGTAAAACTGTTATCTTGTGACCTAATACAATTAATATATCAAAGCATTAATAGGATTAATTTTTTATTGATTTAGTTGAAAATTTGCCTCCTTTGAATATTTTGTGTGGAATTATTAAAGATATTCAACATTGTGTTCAGGTTTGAATATTATGATTAAAATTTCTAATAATATTATCTAGACTATAGATTTATTGTACTAAATATTCCAAGTTGGAGAATTTTTTTTAAACAATGGCAGATAAATACTGGATAGGAAACAATATTTTAACATCTTTTCAATGTTTTGATAGCTTGCCCCACCTGCCCGCAAGCCTCTGGGATTATGTATAATCTAACGAAATATATTTTCTGTTTATATAATCCATTCTCATCTTACATCTTTTTATTTAGTCCTTCATGCTGCTTCAGTCACATACAATTCAAAGCATGAAACTTTTTTTTTTGCTTGCTATATGGCAAAAGCTTTAAAAGCACCAGAACCTTTGCTTTGTTTTACAACTATATGAAATTGTTTACATTTCACTTTATGAAATAGCTAAATTTATTAAGATATAGTTACATACATATTTGTCCCTTGTTCCTTCTATTGATTTATTTTTATGTTGTACTCTATCAGTAAAGAATGCCACTGATAGTAGAAAAGCTTTGTTTAATCATTAGCTTTCTGTTGCACTTAATCTTGTTTTATTTCCATAAAGGAAATTTGCCAGATCCTGGCAAAGCACAGGATTTCATGAAGAAATTCACTCAAGTTCTGGAAGATGACGACAAAATAAAACACCAGTTGGAAATGCTTGTTAGCCCAAGTTGTTCATGCAAACAAGCTGAAGGATGTGTGGTAAGAATAGATGTTAAAATATAACTTATTTGGAGCTATTAAATTGTCTGTCTTCTAATGTACTTCTAATTACTATTGCAGCGTGAAATTACAAAGAAGTTAGGCAATCCCAAGCAACCTACAAACCCTTTTCTGGAAATGGTAAAGTTCCTTTTAGAGAGGATAGCTCCTGTGCACATTGATACCGAATCCATCAGGTATTTTTTCACTTATATTGAAGTTAAATGAAACTGAGAAAACAAATTCTATAAAAGTGCTTTAAGTTAACATGCTGTAGTGTTCTCCCTATTGAATCTTATATTGTAATGTGTCTTATAGGGTGGGGCAAAAAGTAATCTAAGTAATTAGAGAAAGAAATAATTGGGGAAATTTGGGGGGTGTAAGACCAAACTTATTCTTGATATTGATTGAAGGCTTATGATTCATTAACTTCCTTTCCTAACCTTATTTCATTTTTTGTCAAAGTGAGAAGGGGAGGGAATAGCTTAGTCAAGAAAGAGAAAACATTTGATTGCTGCATGATAGACTGTATTTATTATGGAAAGAAGTTAGGATTTGACAATGGAGGAATTATAACAATAACTTTGAACTATTTTTCTCTTGCTTGCAATGACACTGTCATGGTTTCAAAAGACAGAGACGAATAAAGCAGAACTCCGAGACTTGCAAATTCTCAAAGAACATGTTTATTAGTTACAAACTATTGGCACGGTCAAAAGTGAAACCAAGTCTGGGTACACAAGCAACAATTCCCCAATACAAAGTTAAATGACCCATCCACAAAAACTATGCAAGCAGCTATGTTCCCCAATATGATTATTTGGCGGGCTTTTTATGCAACATCCCTAATCTCAGGAGCAGCCGATGATCTTGGTTCCCATGGGACAAAAGATTATTTTGACTAGTGAAGCACCTGGGCAACCCCTCTCCCTCCATTCGATGTGGCAACCTAGAAAGAGAAGGAAAATGGCTGCAGCCATGCTCATTTGTAGAGTTGATAGACACCTTATTTCATACCAGACAAGAAAATTAAAACAGATGTTATTACTCACAGTCTTATTAAGTACACTTTTCAAATGTTGTGAAATTGGTTTGGATCAACAGAATTCAAATGAGTAAACTTCCAAATTCAACTGTTGGTAGGGGAGATATAACTGATTTTAAAGGATTGAAGTGTTATATATGAACTAAAAATCTGAACATAACAAAAGAGTGTATGTTAATCATAGTGATCATTAAAGAAGTAAATCATAAAGTGATAAAGTTCAGTAGGACTAGCCAGTGTAACATGAACTGAACATGTCTTTCAGAGAGACTAAACAGCCAGTTATTATCTTAGCTTTGAATTTCTATGTCATGCATGCAATTGGATAAATTTTATTTATTGATCAAATTTACATGGCTGCTGATTTCACTTACAGGGAATCTGGACAGAGTACAGTAAAACCAAAATTAAAGCATTAAATAAAATGTTAAACAATAAATATAGATAAAAACAAAATAAAGCAAGATCACAAGGGAGAGATATTACGTATAGTCAGTATACACTCTCCTACTTGGGATATCCAGGTTGTTTGGGAAAAAAAGTTTTAAGAATTCTCTGGACAGTCATGAAGGTTGAAACCCACCTCACATCAGGAGGGATGATGTTCCAGAGGGCGGGTACCATTGCAGAAAAGGCTTGTCTCCTAGACTTAGTCTAGTGAAAAGAAGAACTAAGGGTGACATGACAGCAGTGTTCCAATATTTGAGAGGCTGCCACAAAGAAGAGGAGATCAATCTATTTTTGAAAGCACTAGAAGGCAGAACAAGAAATAGTGGATGGAACCTAATCAAGGAGAGAAACAATCTAGAATTAAGGAGAAATTTCCTGACAATGAGAATAATTGGAATGGGTTGCCTCCATCACTAGAGGTGTTTAAGAAGAGATTGTCCAAAATGGAATAGAGTCTCCTGCTTGGCAGGGGGTTGGACTAGAAGAACTCCAAGGTCCCTTCCAACTCTGTTATTCTGTTATTTAACCAGATCCCATGACACATAGAGCTTTAAAGGTCAAAACCAGCAGCTTTAATTGGACCAAAAACACACTGGCAACCAATACAGCTCTTGGAGCAGAGGTGTAATGTGTGCCCTTCCAGGGGGCATACCTAACTGCCCATGCTGCTGCCTTCTGCACCAGCTCATGTTTCCGGATATTCTTCAGGGGTAGTTTCATGAAAAGCACATTGCAATAGTCCATTCAGGAGATGACCAGGGTATAAATAACTATGAGCAGAGCCTTACAAACCAGGAATAGATGCAACTGGCATACTGTGATAACTCCCCCAGATGCTTCCCCAGATACCTCTCTGGATGTCAGCTCGGGGGAGGATGAACCAGTTCCTAGCACGTCAGGAGTTGAGTTGATTGATGGCTCCGAGCAGCCATCTGTGAGGGATTTGGCTGAAGCACAGCTGCAGCAGAACAGCCCTGACGCTTCAGGTGGGGAAAGCATGCAGTTGCAGCCAGTCAGTAATGAGGAAGAGGAATTGCCTTCTGTACCTGATCCAAGAACACATAGAGCAGAGAAAAGGCAGGAGCAGAGAAGGTCAGCCAGATTACTTGTGAGGAGAAAGCCTCGCCCTTCTTGCCAGGCTGTACCGGAAACTGGCTATTTAGCACAGCAGACAAATGGAGGCTATTCTGGGAACAATGTGTTTGTTTCCTAGCTGTGTGTTTTCTGCTTCACTTTGGATTGACATTGAGCCTGGACTTTGATTGTGCCTTAGAAACCCTGGACTTTTCTTGCCTTGTGAACTCTCTTGTGTTGTGGATTTAAGTTTGCCTGTGGCTTTATTTTGATTGAGAAACTTTCAAGGGCCTTGTGGACTCTTTGGCCATTGCTCTGTGAACTAGCATTGATCTGCTTGTGGCTGGACTTAATTGGGACAGTTTTGGGTTTTAGGGAAGGAATTGCTGGGAAATATTAATAAACTCACTGAACCACAGTTACATATGTGTGTGAGTGAACAGGAGAGCACACATAGCATCCAAAGTTATGCAAAGGATTGGAATCCAGAAAGGCTCCCATATTGTTCATTAGGTCTGTTTAGGGTAGTGCCACCCCATCCAGTACAAAGGATGGTAAGGTCCCAGATTCAAAAGGCCCCAAAACCTACAGAATCTTGACATGCAAATTAATGAAGCAAGATTCCTGAAAGAGAGAGTTTTGAAAACCACTGCCTTCGTCCAGATAGTTTTCTTTGCTGTATGTCAAAGAGAACAGTCGATCATAATTAAGAACTTATTTATACATGTCTTAGAAAAGTTTAGTGTAATTTTCAAAGTTAAATTCTCAAACTACCTGAGGTTAGGGTAGATTTTATTCCTTACTATTAAATAATAATACAAAACTATCAAAAATAATTGTAACATGAAATAGATAATAATAGATTGGTATGATGATCAAAGACTCCCAACTAAAAATGAGTATTTGGGTGGTTTGTTGATTTGACTGAGTAATTTGATTTGATTTATATCCTGATTTCCTTCAGTTGCCCAGAGCAATATACAGTACATTTCTCCTACCAAATTTATTCTATACAGCAGCAGCTCTGCAAGGTGGATTGGTTAGAAAATACTACTTGGCTCAAAATTTCCCAATTAATTTCCATAGATGAATGTGGAGTTGAACCTAGAGCTTTTGGATTCTGACTTCAATCTGAGCCAAATAAAATAATAAAACCATCAATTCAGAGTCAGAATTAATTATGTACACATACAGTATTACAATATTTTTTTGGTCAAAATCAAAGACAACAAACAAGTGACTATCTGATGATACCATCAAACTTCCGGTAATGGCGGACCTACCTGGGGTAGCTCCGTGATGGAGCGAAGTCCGCAACAGAAATGGGGGGGCCTCCCGAGGGTCGAGGGCTTCGCCTCGACCCTAATTTGAAGAGCTGAACTCGCCGGTAACCAGGGGCCTGCCGTGTGACTCCCCAGTCTTCGGCTGGGTGATGTCGCTGAACGGAGGACTCGGCCCGGCGAGGATATCGAAGGGACGAAGGGCCCGGCGGAAGATCTGGCCTGGATTTGGCCCTGGATCCGGCCCGGTGGAAGACCTGGCCCGGATTCGGCCCGCGGCCTCGATGATAGCGGAGGCCACGACGGGCTTGGATCCGGAGGCCGCGGCGGCCTCGGACTCGGCAGGCCTCGGACCCGGATTCGGCAGGCGGTCCGGCCTGTGGGCAGCGGGCCCGGCGATGGAGGCTGCGGCCCGGCAGCCTGGACCCGACCCTGGATCCGGTCTGGCGAAACTGCTCCGGACCTGGCTCGCGGCCTCGAGGACAGCGGAGGCCGCGACGGACCTGGATTTGGAGGCCGCGGCGGACTCGGCAGGCGGTTCGGCCTGCGGGCAGCGGGCCCGGCGAGAGATGGAGGTCGCGGCCCGGTAGCCTGGACCCGGCCCTGGATCCGGTCCGGCGGAAGAACTGCTCCGGACCTGGTTCGAGGCCTCGATGACAGCGGAGGCCGTGACGGACCTGGATTCGGAGGCCGCGGCGGCCTCGGACTCGGCAGGCGGCTCGGCCTGCGGGCAGCAGGCCCGGTGAGAGATGGAGGACGCGGCCCGGCAGCCTGGACCCGGCCCTGAATCCGGCCCGGTGGAAGAACTGCTCCGGTGGACCCGGTGAGGGTGGAGGCCGTGGTTCGGCGGCCCAGCGGCCCGGTGGCGGATCCGGCCCGAAGAGCCCGGCCGTGGATTCGATTCTAGCGGCTGGTCATCTCTCCTATCCCAGGTCTCAAAATGGGAACTGATCCTCAAAGGGACTTGTTTCCCCCCCCCGTGTATTTTTCTGTTGTGGGACCTTGTGTCCATGTTTAGAGTCTACTCCAGGTCAGAACTGCTGGCCCTGCGCGATTTCCCCCTCGCGCAGGTATGGCCCAGTATAATCTTGAGGGCCGTCCTCAATGACGGGGTATGGAGCCCCCAGAGGTGCGTAGCAAAGGGAGATCGGAAGAGGAGGAAGTTGAGAGCTTTCCTAGCGGGATGTTTTAATAAATTTTTAGGCGGTACGGGGAGGGTCGGGGCATGGGGGATGCCTCCCTGGGGCCAAGGCCGGGCCTGTCCGAGGGACGCGGCGTCGGAGTGGTGGGGGAGGTGGTTGGGGGACTAAGAGAGGGTGGTACGATCAGCACGGTCAGTGGGAGGGGCAGATATGGCGGGAGCAGAGGACCATATCGGGTTTGGGGAGCACGCACACGCTGCTTACAAGCTTGTGGGTGCTCCGGTCCTCAGGGCTCCACTCGGTCTCCAGGGAGCTTAGTTCCTCGGGCCCGGGATCACCGGCTGATGTTATGGAACGCCAGGTCAGTGGTGAACAAAGCCCCCCTCATTCAAGATCTTATTCAAGAGGGGGGCGTGGACCTGGCAGGTATCACCGAGACCTGGCTGGGCACGGAGGGGGGAGTGCCCCTCGTAGACATGTGCCCGCCGGGTTTCCAGGTATTCCATCAGCCAAGGACCCGGGGTAGGGGCGGTGGGGTAGCGGTCATTATAC